CCCCCCCCCCCCCCCCCCCCCCCCCCCCCGCCCTTCCCTCTTCCTGTGCCTTCTGCAGTCCACCCCTCTCCCGAGCCCTTTCCGTACCCGCATATCCGTGACAAAGACCAGCAGCACGGTTTCTCCTGCTTACCACCCCCTCTCTCCCCTTCTTTATGTGGACAACCGCTGCGTAACCACTCAATCCATCTTACCAACCCCTCCTCCTATCTCCAATCTTCGCGCCGGGACCCATGCACTACGCCCTCCTCCCCCCTTGCCATCCTATCTGCGGCACCCAGCATCATTTGCCAGTGCAGGGTAAGGATACTCAAAAAAAATTGCTCGCAAATCGTATATAACGCCTGCCGAGCCGAGCCGATTTTTAGTAGTTGCCTCGTACGGTGTAATATGAATTGCAGGAGTCCAAAATAAAATTTGCCCTACTAAGTGAATTTAGTAGTTGAAATCGGTTCTGCCCATCTGCGAGGAAATGGCATGAATGAAGACAAATTTTACACATTTGGAGTTGCACTGGGACGACTGACTAGCACGCAGCCTAGCAAATGTTCGAAAGGAAAAGACTGCCCATAGCAAATGACACTTGGTGTATCCATCTACGAGACACGAGCTGCAGATGCCGGTTTTATGCATATGGGTCCGCACATATGCAACGAATGTCTTCCCCATGATGCAGCATCACTTCTGGCTCCTTTTTTTCCTGCATGCAAAAAAAAAACCAAAATACAGCCAGCATGAAGGCAAATGTTAAACAGCAAAATAACAACCATTTATACTGTTGGTGATCTGACTGCTTCAAGTTTAGCGCATGATCGCTCCGCAAGGTTGGTGCATTGCTACGTGGGCTTTTATCCTCAACATTTTAATGTGTTATTTAAGAATGGACGTCGGCAAAGAAACTGGATTGAGTGAATCATGGGATTTGAATGTGACTCCGAATCCTTCCAAAACCGAACAACAAACAAGTACTCCAATAAGCTATGGTGGGCCGCTAACTCTGATCCTGTTTGGTGGCGAAGCGGTACAAGCAACTGCTTATTTCTATAACGATGAAGAGATGCTTTCTTTCGATCCTTCTTTTAAAAACTGGAGTGTATGCTTCTATTAGTCAAAGTAAAAAACCCTTTCAGTGTTAGCTCTCCGTGAAAAGCGAAGGTATACGGAAGTGTGCGGAAGATACCAAGCGCCAACAACCTGCTTTTAATGCCTTCGATCGCTGCCTGTTTCGACTTTTGCTAAAAAAGCAAGATGATTGCGACTTTAATTCCTGCACGAGACGGTGCCAATTTATCACCGAAACGAACGAACGGATCGTAGACGGAACTGGCTGTACTACTGAAAAATCTTCTGAATGAGCATTCAACACACCAGCTCGGGTCCACCGGCTTTCCCATTAATTGCTGAAAAAGACACATACACCTTTTTATTTCCTCACCTCTTCTAGTGCGAAAATGGTTTGCGCGTTTCCAGTTTTGATCAGTTTTCGGGAAAATGTGTTTCTTGGTACTGTAAATCATCGTGGACGGCGAATGAATATTGTTGTAGAAGTAACCAACAAACGTCGAACAGTAATACAATCGCTAAGAAATGATCTCCTTGTAAATTATTGTTTCGCGTGCAAAGTACTGTAACATAACCAACACTATGATGGGGCATCCAAAGCAACACTGATCACGTTGTAGAGGGAGCACAGTGCTTGAAAGAATTAAAATTTTTTGCCGTGACGATAAAGCTACTGGGCCACATGAATTACGCGGAATTCCCATTCCGTTGAGAAGATGCATCTTGTACTGGTAACTAAAATACTGCAGGCCACGGAATATGGGTGCATCACGCAGTCATCTCAGAAAATCGGTATTTGTGCATTCAGAAGCGACTCTCCAGAAGTGCCTTCATTTTTCAAGTTTGTTTATTTGTCCGCCATTCATTCGAACTACAGGAATTTAATCCTCAACATGGTGTCGATCCGACCATAAGCCAGATGAAGCTGCGACACGCTTTAGTCAGAGCTCTTTCTTAAACCAGCACTCGCGTATTCTCAGAACCGGCATAAATGTGTGATGTCCGCTACTTATCAGCAAAGAGAGTTAACTTTCAAGTCCAGGAAATTCCATCTTTTCTCTCGGTCCGAAAAGGATCTTCTACACCGCTTACCATAAAGTCAGGAAGAGACATTTAAAGCATTCTTCGCTCCAAAATGTACATCAAGCCAAATAAGCATTCGCTCTTCTGCTTTAGCCAGTGATCACTTTGCATCCACACGTCATTGCCTTCAACACAGTAATAGTGAGCAGCTGGAGGCAACTTCCATTTTAACACTCGGAAGACAATGAGATATGAGTCGGATACAAAGCAGCTTTTTAAGGAAAGAACTGGCAGATGATATGCGATGGATAATACTACCCGACAACACAATGGTTTTTGGACTTGGAAAAACAGACACGGATATTGAAAACGCTTTTAATGTGCCAGCGTGGAACGCGGAAGTCGGACTCGCCGTCATTGGCTTCCCATAGGAAAACCCGCTGAAACAGCAACTTAGGATAAAGCACTGTTTTATATAAAACTGATTCAGTCTTTTTTGTAAATTAATGTTTGTTTCAGTTTCGGTTTCTGTTTCAGCTTTTTTGTAACCCACCACTCACTCATACACATACGTACTTGCATTCTCGTCTTTTTGTAGTTTGTTTAAAACTTTATCTCCTATTGCATTTTGGGCGGTAGAACACACATTTCATACAAGCGCACACAGCACAAGCTCTAACTTTGAAAAGCGCCCGCGATAAACATGGTGTGGCATCACAGAACTGAGGATCACATGCGTACCAAAAAATTCGACTGATTAATCTTCGAGCTTCCTTTTGCAATAAATTTTGCCTTAAAGGGGTTGTGCAATTCAGGTCGGTCAGCCTGGCGTATGGGAGTGTCTCAGTAACCTGAAACCAATATAACAGTTATCCGAGCAGCCTTGGCATTCTTGGTATATTTACGTTGATTTTGCGTTTTTGCATGTGCAAACGATAAAAAAACGTAATGCTAGACCCATGTTTTTCTCTGATTTTGTATGCGTATTGGTCTAAATAATCCAAACTCCCAGTCTATTTTAGCAGAGAAAATTGAAGGGAAATTTGGGATTATAATAATTAATAATACCAAACCCGAGCATCGAAAATGAGCCTACTTTCTCTTGCTGTTGTATTCTACGGCCGAAAAATCTGTGCGGATTTTTTGTACAACTCCATGTCCTCTGTTTCAGCATGTGCAATACTTTTCCTGTGCAATTCACTGACCTAATTTTATAACTCGATATGCATTGGCGAGGAAAATGTAGATATCAATGATAATGCTCATATTCCTAGACAAAGATTTTCAAACAGTAGTTTTGTTTTGCAGAAAGGGAAAAATAGGACTTGCCTAAAACTTGGGAAGTTTCACGATAAAACATTTTATAGAGAAAATACTTTGCTAAAATCATATATGCACATCATTTGCTACTGAAAACTGACAATACCGAATGCACGGAATTGTAAGTGCTATTTTAAATTTTCATTTCGTAGCTGAAACAGGTAAACGAAAAAAGAGGTGCAGATAATGTTGATATACTGGAAGAGGACACTTGCATCCAGTACACTTGCATTACAACACACCTGCATAGGGTGTAGATTAAAATTGACTTAGTATTTTCAGAGGCGCATTTACTAGAGACCCTGCCAGAGTAATCATCCCTCTCCACCCTATGATTACGAGTCACCTCTGGTAACGCCTACGATTGTGCTGCATATAAACCAGCGAGTTGGACACAAAATTCTGTTTCCTTTCCACTCCGACTGAGTGTCGGGGCGTGAACAGACGCCTTAACACCCACGGTCTTCCCGCTCACATCCAACACAAACAGGCATTCTTCCCTTGCAAGAGACGCCAGAAAAAGCACTAGCGACATGCCCCGGTCGGGCCCATGCGATCATTCCTTTTTGCAATATTTCGTGCTGTAGTGATCACTTGGAATCCTGGTAGCTAGCATTTGTGGCACACCGGTTCTCGAAGTTCAGGAAGTTAATTGTGCAACTACATAGCACTTGCTTCCAGTTTTCTCGGTTCCCAATTTAGCAATTTTCTCGCCAAAAATTTTCACAGGGCCGTACTAGAGAACCACGTACACCTAAGAGCTGAATTTGCAATCTTTAAGCTGTATTGGTGTTAGAAACATCTCCTTAAAATTTCAAATTCCCAGCTTTCCTGTCTCCCGAATTAGCGTTTTTCCTGCCAAAACTTTCACGCGCTTTTGCGCGGGGCCCAGACATCCATGAAGACCGGCACCGTGGTCCTGGGGTGGCACTTGGCCGGGAAACCCACTGGCAAAATATTAGCATCGAAGCTTGCTTGGTTGTCGAGTTAAAATACCTAAACAGACGCACACCTACACACACACACACACGCACACACACACACACACATATATATACACACATTGAGTTTGTCACAATGTGCTTTTTTGCATTTACATATATGCAAATGCATAATTAGTTTTGCAGTGTAGCTCTAACGTCTCAGCTGACCTCCCCCCCCCCCCCCCCCCCCCCCCCCCCCCCCCCCCCCCCCCCCCCCCCCCCCCCCCTCCCCC